GTATTAACCTGGTGCGCAATAACGAGAAGAACACAACAGCAGGGTTTGGACCAGCACAACAGGATCATGCTTGAATATCCTACGGTCTGAACATCAATGTCACATGTATTTAAGTCTTTCAGTGGCATTTCATCACCTTCTTCCGCTTCGTCGTGGCCTGCTTGATTCTTTAGAAAACGGGAGAGGGTCTACGAAGTGCTCATTTTGGCCACCTGACCTGAATTGACTTGTCAAAGGTCACACCCACTATTGTGTCGTCACTCGTTTCTGCTCCAGTGTGACAAGAGCCTTTCAATCGTTTTGCCGCGTAACTCTAGCTTGCTTTGTTTTCAAGACCTAACGGCTAGGTCGGGGATCCTTGTAGGGCGGAAGAAAAAGTCCGTGGACCAGAATAAATTCACCATTTAAAGCACCAGTTGGCAATAATTGCAGCTGCAGAAGTTTTTATGCCAACAAATTTCTTGAGTTTGGAGAATTGAGCACTTTTTCGTTCTTGATCCGCGTTTGAAGGAAATTGCCGATCCAGCCCAGCCAGATCCGTCGATAAATTCATTGGCCACAGATTTATCCAATCCTGGAAAAAACTCCACCACACACGTACATAAAATTTTTCGGACTTCAATCTACGGCACGCCTAGTAAATGTAAGTAAGTTACAAATATCAGTTGCACGCAATAAATATATACACGGCAAGCACAGCAGTGTCAGACAGTGCAGACGCTGTAGACAAAGAGGAAGCAGAGGAAAGGATACCAATGTGCCGATGGCGAGTGCTATTAGGACAGGACAAGATTGTGCACGACGTATGTAGTCATAATATTGAGAACTGTTGTGAGCGGCGTATTTTAACCGCCCCCGTGCCTAACCACGAGCCCGAGTATTGAAAAATATGTTGTAAAATGACTTAACTTTGCGAGTCTATTTTAGTCACTGTCATTGAGGTTTCAAAAGCGATGCCGTGACAAGCGCATCTTAGTCGGACCACGGCCACCTGACCAACTAACTGCTATCTGTTGAGCAGAAAACTACCTAATGAAGTAGATGAGACTGGACACAACAGAACACATAGCATATGTATGCTCTGTGAACGCGAGCACCCACTGCATGCACCTTAAAGCATAACTGACGGCAACAAAATTCGTAAAGCACGCTTAGAAATTTGCTCATTTTAGCCAGCTTTTGCAACGTAAATCAAAACTAGCAAAATGCAAAACGTACTGTTCCGCCTAGGCTTGGACACATCCCATTTCAAAAGTGAGGTCGTAATATTTTACCTCGCAAGAAATGTTGCAGTGCAAGGACCGTCTAAAAAAGGAGCGTCACGCGGAGAAGAAAGCTTTTTGCCCCGATAGGTCGCGTTAGCTGCACCAAAGCATTGAATATCTGCCTGACACCAACTGGCTGCGACGGGAGCCGTGTTTTCCTGGGTGGTGGTGTCACACCCAAGACCCCATGCGCATATCATATGCTCCTTTATCGCCTTTCACGGCAGTCTGCCGGGCGGCCGACGGAGAGGTCGGCCGTCGGCTAGCGCTCGCTCCCGCCCCCGACCTTGGTCCTGCGGCGGCGGCGATAGGCGACGGCCGGGGCAGTCGGCGCCGACTGCCGCCCGGGACGCCGTAACAGGACCGGTCCGGTCTCGTTTCGGGGGCGTGCGCGGCGCGCCCCGCCTCCAGGCTGATCGAGTTGCCGGCGGCGCGTGGCACGCACGGCGCCGCCGCCGGCCGCCGGCTCTGGAGGCTGCGACAGCTCTCTGACCAGCCGGCCTCTGACCGCCCCGAGGCGCGACCGGCCGCAGCAGTCGCGCTCGGTGGCGTCGGATAGCGAAGGTCGGGGCAGGCACGGCACGCGCGCGCGGCAGGCTGTGGCTCGCATGTTTAGGATGCCGGTGACGGCGGATCGAAGGCTGTTTCTGGTTGGCGCACTAATGACCCTCGCCTGCCACCGCGCGCGGACAGGTGGGTGATTGCGGCAGGCGGCGGCGAATGGCCTGCGCTAGCGGCACCCACTCTTCGACGCAGGTGGCGCGTGCCGTCGACCATTAGTGTGTTGCGTTAGGTAACTGCTCGAGCAACACGCTCCTCGATCGTCGTTATTTCCACGGTTCATTTACAAGAGCAAAGTAGTGACGTGGGTGCCGCGCGTGAAATGGCTTACCTGAATGGCTGTCGTTTCTGAATGCCCTGTTCAGCTCTTACTGTGTGACAGTTTCAAATGACGGTGCTTGTTTGTCTTCTGATACTTCTTCCTCAGGTCATTGTTGAGTCTTGAATTTATCATATGACCTGGCTGAGCCGTCTTTCGGCTGCTGCAGCATAATACATACTGCAGCCTTCTTATTCTTGTCGACATATTAAATTCGTTGCTGCCCACCGTTTTTACACCACTCTGCAGTTATAATGCTATGTTGAGAGATTTATGTCCTGACATCGATGCGCCATATTTAGTGCATGTGTCCGGGCGAGAATGAGTGGGAGAGGATCATTTGATCCTTTGAAGAACTTCATGTAATATGTCGACCACTTATGACCCACTTTTGGCCCTCGAATCAATTCCTATGCTAGCCAATCCTGCTCACGTTCACTTCATCATAAATGCAGCGATTTCAGTGTTGGCTTAAAGCAGTGGATCATACTGAACTCAAGGACAAAAAAGGAGGGCCTCTTAACAAACGTAGGTGGCTGTAAATCTCTAAAAAGCTTACTTTTCTCTATTGCCAGCAAAATGAAGCTTCTACCTCTTTTGAAAATTATGAAATTGCGTTTCAAGACAAGAGATGAGCAGAGTGGTAGTTATTTACACAGCAGGTTGAAAATTAATCTCCCTAGCCCGCCCATGGCTGCTGAATGCCTTGCAAAGGTCAGAGTAGGTTATGACAAACAAAAGGTGTTTATCTCTTTGGACACTAAGATGACCCGATGCAAGATTAAAATTGATTTTTTGGATTTCTGTGGGATAAGCAATCCGGAAACATGCATGACATGCCTGTCCTACTGCGTGTCATGTTGACCTCGTATGACCTCATCTTGGCATCCTACCTACATCTTGAGTATGAGCTGACTATAACAAATTTTAGCTGACATTTAGGCTGCACAACGTGAGCAAAATGGATGTGAAAATATTTTGAATCAGAGTCGCATAAATGCGCCAAATTATCACGCTAACCATGGAATGACCTTGACCTGACTACATTACGCCATCAACATTTCCGTAACACAGCATCTTCACTTAGGCAAAGAGCATATAGTTTTTGAAGAAATGAAACGCCTCAATTGACCCAGCCCCTGCAAACATGTAACGTGGGTCTGCATACCTTTGCCCTGACCATGGCCTTTCTTGTCAGGATGACCTTTAATTGTTTCTTCAAGATGCGCCCATTAACTCTTTTCGTTTGCATATATATTTCCAACTTAGGTAATGAATTACCGAAAAAAGTTTTCTGAGCGTATTGTCTCCGGTTCTCCAGCCCGAGGCGCTCGGCTGGGACGCCAGCCAATTAATGATTAGCAGACCTTGGAGCTGATATTATGGTCTGTTCGGAGAAGGAATAGTCTTGCTATGATCCAACCAAAGATATTTAACGGGTTCCAGCCTCAGAACCGTTTCAAAAAGCCAAGCAGGCTGCGGTAGGCGTGTATCCGCCGTTGACCATTACGTGCCGAGTACACTTGTGACGTCATCAGTCGAAACAGCGGAATTTGGCCGGACGGTTATACCTTCTGTTCTATGACCTTGCATGAGAAGCACAGTTCGGCATCGGGGGCGAGCTGTTTGATCGGGACCCGGAATGAGTAAAAGATACACCCTCCGCATACTGTAACTCCTCCAACTTCACCCAGTCAATTGGGACGTTACCCTGCTGGCGAAGATGCTACTCAATCTTGTCCAACGCGGGCTGAACCGTGCCAGTCTCCTCGTTGATGCCGACCGCGTGCCAACACGTCAGCACGCACGTCTTCTGTGCAGCCGGACTGTAAGAATGTCAGCCGATCTTCACGACTGAAGGTGGCAAGCTGACAGAGCTGTAGTAGGCCTCCCAGGACGGTCTCCATGCTCAGTAGTCGCGTAAGCTGACTTCTGTCAGTTTGCCATGCCACCACCACCATGTAAGCGGGGAGCTTACATGGTGGCGTTTCTGGAGGACGCCTTGTACGAACGGGGATGTGCGATGCAGTTGAAGTTTCTGCCAAAGCAGGCGACGTGTCGCACGTCGGTGATTTTCCTCGATCTCCTGGCTCTACAGCGTCGTCACGAACAGACATAGATGGCAGAGCGCTCCTGGTGTCAGGCCCAACCACTTCCGATGCCAAAGTCCTTGAGTGTGCTGGAACGTGCTGCTGATGTAGCAGCTCTGCTTGCAGTAGTTCCCTCTCCTGCTTGTGCTGTTTTTGATCCTGTACCTGAAGCCGGATCTGCTGCTAAAGCTGCTGCTAGAGCTGGTGCTGGAACTGTTACTAGAGCTGTTGCTAGAGCTGCTACTGCTGCCAATTCAAATGCTGCTGGAGCATTATTGACGAGGTTTGGTTGCCACCTTTCCGCTTTTTTGGAAGCCTGATATAGGTCTAGATTATTGACGTGAAATCAGTTATTTTGTTTGATGGAATACAGATAAGGTTTACAGCATACGTTTGATATGGGAATGGTAGGACGCATTGTGGTCGGAACGTCTTGTGAACACACCGAAGCGCGCTATACCTCGTACCGTAACTTTTGGACTCGGTCATCGCCGCGAAGACATCGTGCAATAGTGGTAGAAGAAGCAAGCTCGCCCCACTAAACATGGCCCTGGGCCAAAACCCAGTGTCTGTGAGCCAGCCAGGTGGTGTGAGCCAAAGGAAGCCAGCTTGTGATCATGATATGTTAGAAAATGAGTCTTTGGTAATGAGAACAAATATTTCGTCCATAAAAATCTATCAACAATACTAGCGCTGCATGTTTCCTCACTGGCATTCGCCGCGGATTAATGTGTTCTCACAAGGCTTAAAATAAAACCCTTCTTCTTCGCGTCAACAGGTCGCCGGCAATGCGACATTGTCATCAGTTCGATCATGTGAGCAGCTTGCTTTGCGTTGAGTGCACCCATTACAAGTTGGCCAAATGAAGGCAACTCAAACCCAACCAGTAAAAAGTCAAACAGTATGTTCATGCTTTACGTCGGGGCCTCCTTAAGCTTAAGGTCACCGCCGTCGGCACAGCACTAACCAATGGCTGTTGTGCGTAGGGTTGGTCATTATTAATAACGGTACTAAGAGAGCCTGTCGACATGGGCATGGTAAGGCAAATGCACGACGAACACCACGAACGGCGTATATACTTGGAGAAGCTAAATCATGCCCAACACATTTGCCTAAACGTACGAAAGCTCGAAGTAGGCTGCGTCGAAGCTCCGCGTTCTTGTGTTTATAAATCTTATGAGTGCTGATCTACGTCTTGATTATCAGGATCATTATAACTAAGTCGAAAATGCTTAACGGAAAGGTACTTTCGCGTAAAGTATGACGGCTCTTAAACCACGAGAAGCACCCAAATCGTTCCATGCTTCAAGAAACACGAAGCGGTTGTCCAAGCCCACTGGCGCCGCCCTTCCAAGTGGGCGCGCTTTTTATGTCACAGCGCGTAGCATATCGACGAAAAACCCGCACGAGAGAAAACAAAATTTTGCTCCAAGAGGAAAAACCGATACCCCTCAAACCACGTCTACTCAATCTGCAGGTTATGAGAACCCAGCAACCACTGACGTACTCGCGGGGGACTACACTTCTTACCAGATAAGGCATCTCATCGACGGACTCGCTAGGATAATGCGGCTTTTCTCAATAACCTGAGTTCCTATGAAACATGAATGCCATACGATTGGACAACACACTTTGTGCTATAGAATCTTGACTGGCTTTGGCTAATTTCATATGCAACGAAGGTAAAACAGAGCGCTTTAGTACCTGTCGAGGTTGTATGCCAAACATGTCAGCCGGGCTGCATCTCCTGTCTGTGCAAAATGCATTGTTTCTGTTGTCATAATTGCGAGCATCTGCGAACTTGTGGCAAAGCGCAAGTCCGCAGAGTAAAGTTGAAGGCGTAAACAAATGTTGCTTCTCTCTGATTCACACCGCCTAGCATTACTTTGTAGTATCGTGTAGGGATGCCCCGTGAGACGAGAGGACAGAAGCTACCGTCTGCATATTTTATCATAATGTTTTGTTTATATAATTTGATGACAATAATTCATCATAGTACATTGATAAAGTGATAAAATTAGAAGTTTTAACTATTTCATCCCGAGAAGGACCCAGATGCAATACCTGCTCGTAAATCCCACGTGAATAACGCAGAAAGGAAGTAGCCCCAGTGGCTGTGCCCGCCCTGGGGGAAGTTTAGGCCCTGAAGCGGAAGCTGGCCATCCAGGTAGATGCATGGCTATGCGCTATGCATGCCTTTTCTTCCACGTGCTCTCAAACTGATTAGGCCTCCCCTGATAGAAGAGTCAACGCGACGGAGAAGATCGTCGGTACGTCCCCCTCCTTCAAAGCTGCTTTGAGGATGTCTTTCCCACATGTAGTACAATCGTGCCGAATATTCTGATATTGTTCTCTGGGTCATTAAATGCGCATGATTAGACATAACAACGTATCCATAGCACGGCGGGTTTCTGAAAAGTGACCACTGTTTCTGAACACTATGTGGAGATCTTCGGTACATGCAAGTAACGGGTGGTAACCAACAATCAGCCAATCGCGGGAGGCGGGGACGTCAACTCTTACATTAACGGGTACCTCCATTTGAAATATATCCAAAAAACACACCAAACCAGGTAGCAATGTGGTCAGAGCAAAGCAGGTGACGCGTGGGGTGACACGAATGACATTCTATTGTAGCGGGTCGCATCGTTATTTTTACCATTTGTTCTTTTTTGCATGGATCTGTGTGTGTGTGTGTGTGTGTGTGTGTGTGTGTGTGTGTG